CTCCCTAGGGAAGAGGCTCCCCCTCCCCAGGATGGTGCCCGTGCTCCAGATTCAAGGCCCCATCCTGCGGCTGCAAGGCACTGCCCAAACTGCATTCTGGATTCTCAGGTCTTCAGTAGACAAGCACCAGCAATTTTGCTGCCATAGTTTAAGACATGATCCTATTCCCAATGACCCCTTGCCCCTGAAATTCCCACCCCCCATCAAAAAGTAAGGGTAGAAGAAGCATGGATCACAGATCAGTCATACACGTCCACTATGAGGCAGCTTAGCTCAGAGCTGCATCATCCAGCTAAGACCAGGCTCTGTGCAGGGAGAGCTGGGCTGCAAAGGGCACAGCCCCTTCTGCTCAGCACCCTACCAGGGCAGGAAGGCCAGTGACTGTGGCCAATAACCACGTCAAAGTTTGCCAGCATTTGCCTGGCAGAGCCACTAAGAGCTCTGGTTTTTTGAGTCATTGCAGACTCAGACTGCCCAAAACTCACAGAGCAGACTCACCTCCAGAGAGACAAACCTCAGCAGTACGTGTACACCAACGCAGGAGCTGCATCACCCACGTTAGCTGTGAGAGGTTGTGCTGAACAAAGGGTATAGACCACCTCACTGTGCTGCAATGCGGACTCAGCTACCAGGGCGCCTGGAGGCATGGCTAGTGAGATGGTGGCCACCTCCTCGCTGCAGGCAGAGGGGCAAGTTCTTCCCTCCCTACACAGCATGACATGAAGAGCAGAAAAGAAACCCAAGTGGCCCGTGTCTTGGGAGGAGAGTCTTTCCCCTGTACCCCATGCTGGGGCATGGTTCTACTGATGGAAGTCTTATCCTCCAAGAGATGTGAACTACGTACAACCAAAGCACAGCAGCTACCAACCAACAGGAGTACATCGAGTCACAGCAATTCCTTGGCACAAACAGCATCTGCTCAGAGCCAGGGTGGATGGGATGCTGCATTAGGCAGGCACCCAGCTCCCCACAACCTGCAGACCCAGCAGCAGGAGGGTGTCAAGGCCACATCGGCTACAGCAGCCTCCCAGGCAGATTTTGGGGACAAGATGCATGGCTTGTTCCTCCAGGCATTTCTTCGAAGCACAGTTCCTTCCTACCAAAGGGAGGCAAGAGCCGTGTCGTAGTTACAGCCATCCTTTCCATAGGAAGTAGTGCCACATCCTCCACAAGGCCAAGGTGAACCTGCTGCAGCAGGGGAGATCCCAGCTCTGGGGACGGGGAGGAAGCAGTGTGCTGCAGACAGCTCTTCACCCCAAGGCAAGGCACAGGCAGAGGCAGGCAGCCTGCCCTCATGCTGTTGTCATGGGCAAGCAGAAGGATTTGTGCTCAGAAGCCCAGGCCTATGGTAGCCAGTCAATTGGTTCCAGCACAACTGAACTGCTTGCAAGCACACTGGAGGCAAAGGAAGTTTGGAGGTGGTAAAAGAACAGCATGGCTGTATCCACTCCTGGGGAATAATAGCCATGAAACCTCCAGAAGACTACAAGCCTCCACAGCAAGGCACCAAGGAGAAAGAAGTCCTGCAACCATCAGGGCACATCACCTTCAAAGCTTCCTAATGTGTGGGATGCTCAGAGCTGCTGCCATCTCCTAGTACAACCACTTAGACAAACCCTCAGAGGAAGCAGTGCTGGACAGCAGTGATATGAGAGAAGAACAGAGATAAATGAATATTGAAGATGTCAACAGCTAGAAATGTCATCCCAACTAGGTCCCAGAGTCCCACGGAAGACCAGACTGGTTTGGGCTCTGGATGAAGAGACTTTACCACCAGTGGGAAGAATGGGTATCCAATCCACTTAACGCATTGACAGCCCAAGAAGAGACAAGCAGAGAAGCTTCTCTCTCCAGCAGGACTAGCACAAATTTACTGCATTATTAGAGATGCCAAGAAACAGGACCCCCTTGTAGCACCTGGGGGTGAAACTCAGCCAACACTAGCTCAATGGAGGGGACAGGCTTATTTTCTTCTTGCCGTCATCTTGATCGCACTCGGGACTCAACTGGGGAGTAGAAACACTCTTCAGGTCCAACTGTTAAAGATGGAACTGGGACTAGATTAGTTACAATGGAAAGTATTTCCCAACTGACTGCAGCAGTGAAGGAAAGGTCAGGAGACTCAAAAGCAGGCTCAGGGGAAAAACATTAAGGCTGCTACTTTAACCACACTCTATTCTGTCGACTTCTTCACTTGCCTTTGATGGAGAGAATAAGAAAAGCCCTTGCACTTCCAAGCAAACATATCTTCACCCGTTATATTGATATTATAAATAGACACATTTGAGATTTCATAAACACACAGAGCTGAAGACACATTGTCTTCAGTCTACTTCCCATTCACAGACACTGCAGCAAGCACCCTGGAGTGCCTGGATCCAGACTAGAGCTCCCAGCCACATGGACGCACCTGAGCTTTCTGTCAGCTGTTGAAGTCATCCCATAGAAGGGACAAAGCTGAGACAAAGCACCCAGAGTGCTTTTAAATGAACCAGGTCTGGGGACTGCCCCGCTCCTGCCAAGTGAGAGCAGGTTGCAAATGAGCATTTGATCTCTCCTGGCCTGCTTCTAGCAAGCGAGCCCTTTGCCCTCCTGCTGCCTCCACTCAAAACCCGCTCATGGTCAGCAGTGCCCGGCAATGAGCACTTCCCAGCCACCTCTGATGTGCTAAGGAGCTGGAGCCTCCATCAGTGTGTCTGATTTACCTGATCTAATTGCAGTGGGTGATCAGAGGGGCAGGGAGAAAGCAGGGGAGGAAATCTTGCTCTCACCTTAGTCAGTCAGACAGAAAGCAACACCACAACCCCAAACCTTCCCTCTCTTTACTGTCACAGACCCTGAGCTCTGCCATAGAAGCTGCCTGAAGATCCACTTGGGGGCTGTTGGCTCACTACTGCAAATGGTGGCAGTGGCTAATTGGAGAAAGACCACAAGGGTGAAGGCAATGCATCTGGGAACATCAGGCAGAAACTTGCTCCAGGAGCCAGAAGCAAACGAACAAGATCGTCAAGGGTGATGGTGGGTGCCTAGCCTGAAACACCCAGAAGGATTCAGTTTTCAAAGGATGAAGCCTCAGCGATTCCTGAATATTGTGTCCTCCCCACAAAATCAAAGAGAGCCTCTAGTTGCAAATGTTGGTAAAAGCTGCATGGCCAAGCACACCGTAACTGAGAGCTCTATCCAACCATGCTGCCATGTTGATGCTCCTCATCGCCCAAGCCAGGCAGGAACCAGCTGAGCCAGCAGCGGGGTGGGAGACTCCCCAGAGCAGATATAAAGAACCAATAAGGACTTCTCAGCAGGAGTCTCCCCTCTCCTCCACCCATCCAGGTGAACACCGGCACTGTGCTGTGCCAGGAGAGGACATTGCTGCATGAGGACCATGTGCTTAGGAACAGTGCTTTAAGATCTACAAATGTTCTTTGAGGAAAAAACCTAAATTTAAAGCGCTTTGGTTGACTCAATGTTTTCTACACCTTAGCCTAAATTTGTGTCATTACTCTTCCTAGCAGCTTTTGCATTCTCCCCCTGACACAGCTCCATCTCTAGATATTTCTAGAAACCCACCAGTACTGGATCTGGCATTTCTACGCAGAATGTCATCTGCTATTCAAAATAGATCGAAGCCTCCAGAAAAGACCATGTCTTGGGTGCACCTAAAAGAGCCAAAGAATCTCCCAGTTTCTAGAGGATCCCCAAGCTGCGCTGTCCCCAGCAGGCCACGTAGATCTGCCAGCACACAGTGGCCCTGTGACATCTGTGGACATATCACTGCCAACCTCCTCCAGCCACGTATGTGGTGCACAAGGTAGGAGCAACCATATGGCACAGGGCATGTGGGGCACCAGGCAGGAGTACCTGAACAGCATGGGGCACATAGGACAGCAGGGGAGTACCCGAACAGTGTGAAAAGGAACTGATCCAAAGAAAAGGAAGGACCAAGGCAGGGCTCTTAAAGGCAGCAGCAGAGCACACTCCAGCTCTAGGTTTTAGGGGACCCATGTTTCATTTTAACAGTGCTCCCAGTGCTGCGGTCTTCCTTCCAGCCCCACAGTTCTCACACCAGAGCCTCCAGCCCAGGGTTTCCCAGCAGCCAGCATCTCCAGCCTCCACAAGGGCAGTCCCGAAGGGGCAGCCCAGAGGCACCCCTTGGAGGAGCAGCCATTGGAGGGGGTCGACCCCCAGCCTTGCTTCTCCTCTTGGAGGCCGGGAAGAAAGCTGAGCTGGGGGGCGGAAGGAGCCAGCGGGCCTGGGAGTGACACCTCGCAGATTAGAGAGGTATGTGGCCTGGAACCTAAACACAGGATGTGCAGTGCAGAGGAAAGGCTGGGGGAGGGAGCGCTGCGAGTTCGGCACAGTTAACCCCTTTGTGCGCTGGGCCTGAGCAGAGCTGCCTGCTGCTGAGCCTCTGCCATATGTCCCAGCAACAGGAGCACAGCAGAGACCACAGGGTCTTGGATTAACTCCTTCAGGCCCCACCAGTCTCTCCAGGATCACCAGGGAGCTGCATCAAGCCAGCCCTGCTCCTCCAACTGTGACTCCCTGCAGAGCCAGCACAGTCCCATCCTTCCCAGCAAGAGATGCCGCCTGTTGGCCGTTCCCTCCGGAGGCCCAGATGTGGTGGTTCCTGTCCTGCTTCCTCAAGCTCAGGGTTAGCTTGAGCAGGAAGGAGAGATAAGAGAGAGCCAAATCTGCCCGGTTCCCCAGGTCAGGGTTCGCCAGGAAAGCCTGCTGGGGCAGCGCCAGCAGAGCCCCAGCGGGTGGAGGGCTGCCAAGCCAGGGAGGTAGCTGTGGCCTCGCCGGTCCGGCACACTGCACGGACAGGACTTGTAGCAAGGAGGTATCAGTAGGAAGCATTCAGCCTGTTCTGGGGATCTTGAAACATAGGATAACTTAAACCAGGTCTCCTCCAGCCGGTAAAATAGCAGTGCAGGGACCAGAAGGACAAGCAGGTTGAGATATCAGCACTAATTTGGAGACCTACAACTTGCACTAATGGCAAAAGTCACATCTGCAAGGAATGGCCATTTTGGGATTGGTTTTGGGGCACACTAGGCAGGCAGGAGGCTCCTTCTAGCCAGCAGCACCTGAACTGCCCAGGGCTCCCAAGCCACATTCAGCACAGGGCCCCCACCCAAGGAGCAGCAGAGGAGACGAGCTGACTCACAGCAAAATCGGAGGGAGGAGGCGTGTGGCCAAGCAGCCTCCCCCTGCCCATGGGGTGCTCACCTCTGCCTTGTACATGCGGATGAGGCCCTGGTTGACCTTGGACCAGGAGGGCACGGCACTGATGTTCCAGAGCTGGTTGGAGTGCTCAGCAAAGGGGCCTGTCTTCATCTGAAAGAGACCCACGAGCAGGGCTGAGGGAGCCGGGCCAGCCAGGAAGCTCATGCACCAGCAGTGACTCACGCTCACACTCTCTCCAAGCAAACATTCCCACCAAGCCCTGTGACCCACGCACTAGCCACCTCACTGCGCCTTCCCTCCCTCCCTCCCTCTGTGCTCCCTCCCGCTGCGGCCACATCCCATGAAGCCGTGGCAATCCAGCTCCCCCTTCCCCAATAAAATTAAGCCTTTTCCTGCTACGCTTTCCTAATCAGATCTCCCTCTACACACCTCCCTTTTAATGACTGCATTAAAAGAGCCCCACGTAAGTCCCGTTCTCCCCCCCCAGTAGAGCTTGGCTCAACGCTGTTCCTATTCTACCCAGAAACCTCCCAGTGCAGCACTGCTGGGCTTTCCAAGAAAATGACTCATTCCCCATTCAGATCAACAACAAGCAGCAGCGACAACCGCCGCTGCCTTCCCTGAATACCGAGGGCAGTGCAGGTTGGCAGCAGCTCTGGTGTCCGCAGTCCACTCCACACCTGCCTCTAGCAGAGGAGGGCTCTGGGGGGAGGCAGGAGCAGAGGGAACACACTCCAGTCCCGCTCTCCAAACCAGCTCCAGAGCTGTGAGTTGCTAGCTTGCAGCAGATGCTTTAAATTTTTTTTTTTTATTTGTTTTTTTTTTAATACTCCAGTGTTTCTCCTCCCAGGGCGAAGGGTTTGGAGGAGGGAGGGCAAGGGGGAAGCTGTGATCAGGGACAGTTGCATGTAGATTCCCTGGGTAGCTGTCTCTCCTTCTCCTCTATGAACAAAAACAGACCCTCAGGGAGAAAAAGAAATACAACGCAGCCACTCTGACTGAGCGAAGTTCCCATGACATCAGAAACCACAAGGCCGAAGCTCACGCTAAAAAGGAGCGTGGGGAGAGAGGAATCTCTTGGACTCTTGTTCTCAACTCGGGGCTTGAACAACTAAGCCCTTCCCTCCACGCACGCACAGGCCTGGAGCAAGGGTGGGAAAAGAGCCTCCAAAACCACCTCTCTGCCTGCTGTAAAAGCAAGCAAGGCCGAGCAATCTGCTTTGGGAAATTGCTGCTGCCCTTCTGCAAGGTCTGTGTGGCACCAGCCTGCAGCGGAGAAAGAGGGAGAGAGGGAAAGGGGAACCCAAAAAGCCCCACTGCTTGGAGGACCCTGTTTCAAACCCCCTGACCTCGGGGCTGGAGCACCAGGGGAAGAGGATCTGTAGTTTTGCCCACTGCCGGGAGAGCGCAGACGCATCCCCGATTCCCCTCGGCGGTTCTCGTAAGCTGGGGGATGACGGATGAGCCACTCAGCTGTTCCCATTCCCCTCTGCCATGCGCGCTTTCCTTGCAGATACAAGATGAAACGCACAGATACACAAAGCACGACGCTACCCGACAGAGCCGGTGCGTTATTAAACACAAGGATTTGGCACCGGCAGGCACCCGAGTTAAAGGCTGCCGGGGAGCTCAGTGCCAGGCGGTTTGCTCAAAGCATCCCCCCAGTACGGGAGACTTGGATGCATGCGTTCTGACGCCAAACCTTCCTCCAGCATCGCCGCCCTTCGCAGGGGCACAGCTTGCATCAGCCACCACCGCACTTTGCTTCTCCCCCCTTCCTAAGCCAGAGCGAGCGCGCTGGAGAGCGCGGAGGTGGCAAGCGCGGCTGGCCGGCCCCGTGCTCATGCCTGGGGCTGTGCAAGCCTGGCACAGCCACCACCGCGGCCCTGCTCACCCAGGGCACCTGGCGAGGGACAGCTTGGCTACGGTTTCAAACTAGGGAGGGAAAAATAAGGGGGACGAGGGGGCAACAAAAAAAATCATCTCCTTCCAGCCACAAAGGCCAAAGAGGGAGAGCTGGGGGGGGTGGAGAGAGCGAGAGGCGGCGAGTGCGCTGCAGTCCCGCAGTGACCCCAGGGGAACGGAGTGAGTCAGAGCAGCCATATTGAGCAGGAAATTACTCACAGACGCGGCGTTCCTGCCTCTCGGTTCCCAAGAGAATCGGCCTTTTGTAAATGGTTCCTCTGTCAGTGCCGGGGGGAGGGGGACGGCTGAGGCCGTGCTTTCCTGTCAGCTCCTTCCCTTCTAGCCGAAACCCGAGCCCTCCCTTCCCAAACCTCCA